TCTGATTTATTTTGTGATACATTTAAGTTTGCAATGTATGGATTCTTTCATCTTTAGTCCTTCTCTTCATTGTAACTCTGGGATCGTTATTCTGTAACATATTTAAGCATGGAATGCATGGATTCTTTCGTCTTTATAGACTTCCTCGTCATCGTAACTCTCTGGTGCTTCTACTATATACGTTGAGATTTTTTTTTTATAAAATACAACGAAGAATCTGCAATGTTATTGATCCTGACCTGGCATCTCGACTTCAGTCACTTACACACCGCCATACCGTAGGGTTCCGCTTGCTCTTTCTATAAATGTTAATTCTTCTAATGAACTTTACTGTTTTGTACACAGATTTTATTAATTTAAGTGCACGGTCTTATCAATTTAAAATCGAAATGGTTAGATGCAACCGTAAGTTCTATGAAAACAGTTTATTCTCTATCAGTTTCACTTCTTTCTTTCCAGTCAGATTTGATCTTCAAACAGTTTAATTCAATGTCAATAATTATCTCCAGACTTTTTTTTAAAATTCTTGTTCTGTTATTGTTCTCTGTCCTTAATAATGTTTTCCTTTTCTCACTTTCTCTCGTACTCGCTAACCCCTTGCGTCATAGTGGCCTCATTGCCTTTCTTGGGTTGACATGATTAAAAGGACATAGAAGAAGCACGTGCCGACAATGAAATCCAATGTGCTATGTTCTATTAAACGCACACTGTTTCTTCGTCTGAGATTTAGTGAATTACCGTTCTTATTCACTAACACATTTGGTGAAGGAATATCTCATATAATTGTGACGTGCTAATAGTTATTTACCTAAGCAATCTCCTGATAATGCACATTTTAAATCAACCCAAAATCAGACCACCTGACCAAACATGACGTCGCCAATGGTGAACTTTCCATCTAAACATAAAGTGGATGAGAACAGGCAACATTCCAACTTAGAATTAATACGAAAAACGTCTCGGAATTGGAAATCGCAGAATTGAATTTCAATTCCCGCCTGGTTCCTTATATTTCCTTACGGACAAATACGTTTGGGGAAAAAGTATAAAAAGCTATGTGTTAATTAGTGGGATTTTATCAGTAAATCTTTATTCCCCCCGCCTCTAAATTCTTACAATCTAAAATTATTTTATGACACTAAATAACGTGCAAAAGTTTGATAATCCGTAAAAAAACGAATCAATAAACAACTTTTATCTTCTTTTGATTTCCACAAAAAGAAATATATGTGGGCCCTAAAAATTTGACGATTCGATCACAAAGTCCTTCAAAAATATATCTGGCAACATATGATTAGATCTTGGGAAGTGAAACAGGACAACAACTATAAACACCCTTGTATTTACAAATGAATTGATATATAAACATATATATACTAAATATTTATAATTGATATGTCATCTAAATATATATATATATGTGTGTGTGTGTGTTGATGTAATAGGAAAGAACAATTAGATTAATGATCCAAACTTCTTTATTATTTATGTTTTTGTTCTTAAAAACTGTGCTCGATACGGTAGTAGAGCCTAAATATAATTAAAAAACAATATGATTCCGAAAACTTGACTCAAGTTTCTGAAGACCATTTTGACATCACAATGGGTTCATTAGACTCTGCAATTTTCTGATCTTGTTGGTCTATTTATATTATGTAACATAACTGCTCACCGCGAAATAGATATTGAAGACATCAGGCTATACAGAGATAATGATCTTACGGCAGTCAGGAGGTCTAGTAAATTTAAAATAGATAAAATTAGAAAAATAATTCATAGAGAATTCAGAAACCTAAATTTAAAAATTACGGTTAACACAAAATTGAAAAGGGTAAACTAATCCTTTGTATCAAATCATACTCCCTCTATAATTAAGCATACACTTTCATCAATCGAGAAGAGAATTAGTAGAATTTCCGCTAATGAAGAAATATTCTATAAACATAGTCTAAAAAATAGTGGCTACAAACACCCGAACATCAATTATATAAAAAAATAACTGTACAAACCAAAAGAAAAACAGAAAAAGAAAAATAATTTGGTACACACCCAACCTCGCACAACCAAATGGTTAGTAATAAGCTAGGACAAAAATTATTAGTTTAAATCGAAAAATATTTTCCTAGTAACAGAAAACTTAGCAAGAGTTTTAATAAAAGCACCATGAAACTAAGTTACAGCTGTATAGAAAATTTAGAAAAGATTATAAGAAACATAATAATAAAATATTGAAAAAATACTCAAGCCAAAATCAAATTTATAAAGATCCTAAAATGAAATTACACAATAATAATGAAATTTATGTAATTGTAAAAAAACTGATAATTGACATTTGAATAAAAAAAATACCGCATAGAATACGTAGTATACCAATGCATAATCTCATCCACTGATAATCCAAATATAGAAAATATATATATATATATAGTATCCACAAGAAATGAATTTACAATGAAGTAGAGTCAATACCAAAGTTCCTTCAATAACATTAGAAACCGAAACTAAACATTTCTATCTAAATATTTTTTTGGAACTTAAAAGAAATAAATAAGACACCAAGAGTAAAATGGATAATGATAAATATAACAAGAACATGTAGAACCTACGACGATCCATGCCCTTTATGCTTACATGAAAAACTACACATTATCATGTTTCTAAATAACAAAAATTTATTAAATCAAAGAAATGAAATAACGGTTTTTGCAGACACCACCAAATATACGCCTTAAAAATTAGCAACTTATAAATGGATAAAAAAAAATGTTTACAATATAGATTATATCATAAAATATATATTAAGAATCCACAATACTATATTTAGCAAATTAAATTAATTTCAGACACGTATAAAACTATAGAATTAAAAATACAACCCAATCATATTTAAGCGCCCCTTTAAGAAACTATCAATGAAAAAAAAAACAAATAAACACCAAAAAGACTGTAACTAGTATATCAGTCAGTAAGTTTTAACAAATAGTAATAAAACTAACAGAGTGTGGGGAAAAAGGTCATTGTAACCAGACAAAAATCCCCCAACCAAACCTTACACGACCCCAAAAATTTTACATATAATAAACATTCATACTTTCATCTGTGTAATGACCCTTTGATAACAAAAGAAAAATAAACCCAGATTACACCTCCATTTCCAACATATAAAATAGTAAAACATTTCTTCGATTAGTTATTCTAAACATCGCTTGAGAATGAAACTGTTCTCTAAATTTTAAGTTTAATATTGAAATTAGACTTTACGACTTGAGTCAAGTTTCAAAAGAGTAATTTCTGTGTCGCAATGGAATCATATTTTCTTTTTAAATAATTGACATGAATATTTTATCTAATGAAAATGCAGATACCTTGATACATTAATATTTTTCAAGTGCAAACAAATCAGTCTCACAAGAATGTATCATTTCGTGCTACTAGATTATCAACTAGACCCCACTGTTTTACTGTTTGACTAGCAAGATGCAACGGCCATCTCTAATCTAACAGTTTGTTTTCTCGCACTTCCCACCTGAGGAACTCCCTTTCGATTTCTTGCTTCCCTAATGACAAAAATATTTTAAAATCTTTTAAAATCAACGTCAGTCGCCATTTTCTGTCTTCTTGAACCCTGTTCCGTTTTTTGTCATTTCCTCAGTCACAGTCTTTTCATTCTCTTTCACTTTCACTCCCTGTAAATACACTTGCATCTCAGTGGCTTTTTCGCCTTGCTCGCGGTGGAATTATTTTTTTGTTTAATTATAAACAGAGAAATCAGTTCCAATAAATCAGTCGTCGATTGACTTTCTCTCAAATTTACTCAACATGTATTTTGACTTCCGATTCACTCAACTTTTTTAATCTTTTGATTTCATCAGTTTTCAATCATTTTCTATTGACAGAATGCTGAATTCTTTATTTCGAATACTGCACCGTAGAGAACCAACTTCTACTTGGTCTTTATTTCCTGGCACATGCAGAGACGTATAAAGAATATAAAGAAACATTGATTAACGTACACAAACTTTCCACTGATTAAATCCATCCTTTGTTTATTCATTTATTAATATTATTATGATTTCCCAGTTTCTTGATTAAAGTGTTGGACACCAAAGAATTTAAATTTAGAATTTGTATCTCTACTATGTAGTTTATTTCAATATAATTATTTATTTGTATTTATTTATCTCCTGTTGATTATGTAGAAACAAATACACGGGTGCATAAATTTGACGTCTTGATTTCAAAAATAAATCTGATTCCGGGCCATTTGGTTAAAATCTCCGGAAGTGTGCGAAAACGATAACGATTCAGGATGAAGTCAGATTTCCGAAGAAGTTGATATGGAAAGCATATGTATATAAAGTAAAAGTACATATAACAAGTTGCATAATGACAATTCCAGTTGAATCATTACATTGGGAAAACGTATATCACAGGTCGATTTGAATCTTAAATTTCTAAGCAATTCTAAAATTTGAAGAAAGAAATATTAGTTATCGCAGAGAAACTTTCCGTTGAACAAATATAGTCCTTGTACCAAACTGTGAATTAATATTTCCAAATTTCTTAATTAAAAGGCGTCTGGGGTATGACGATAAACTACATCCGGCAGCAAGGCCTCTGATTGGGAGATTGGAGGTTTTGAGGAGTATGGAACCACCTCTTAATTGCTGTTGTTCCAAGATCCAGCCTGAGCCAAGGTGGTAGCACCTGTTAGGGTCCCAACAATGGGTAAATATTAAACCCCGAAACTAGCGTCAAAATACTATGAAAGTAAAAAAATACATTTTTATAACCAAAATTTCCAATAATAGATTTTAATAGTAAAAATAAATTACCAAAGCTCCCAAGGAAAATAAATTTCGGCATTAAATGACCCATAAGGTGTTGATATGCCGTTAAACAAACCAAACCAAACTTTTATAAGACTGAATTTCAATCACTACATTGGCATTTATCCAAATAAATTTATTCGATTGAATGCACGATTTTTGAGTTACCACCATATGACGTTGAAACACCGCTTCTCGTGCAATCACCGAAGTTAAGCAACGTCGAGCCTGGTCAGTATGTTGATGGGTGATTGGGAATATCAGGTGCTGTAAACTTGAATATCCGGGTGGTGTAATCCATAATGTCCCTGAATTTAAATTTAGATATCCGAGTGGTGTAATCCATAAGGGCCCAGAATTGGAAATCGGAGAGTCGAGTTCTAATCCTAGTCGGATGAGTTATATTCACTTACGGGTAAATAACTATAGGAAAGGTATAAATCTACCTGTTCTCCCCCAGATATGGGTTAATTAATAGGATTTTATCAGTAAAGCATCATTCCCACGAAATCTTTACAATCTAAATTTTTTCTGCCTCCAAATATCCCCCTAAATGTTGATAAAGCGTAAAATCGAATCAATCAATACACAACTTTAATTCTTTTGATTTTCGGGCAAAAATATAAGATGGTCCTGAAAATTTGACGATTCGATCATAAAGCCCTTCAAAAATAAATCTGGGGCCATATGATTAGATCTTGGAAAGTGGATCGGAACAACAGCTGTAAACTTCCACCTTGGATTTACAAATGAATTGATATATAAACATACATCAACTAAATATTTATAATATATCAACTATATATTATGAAATGGACTAAGTCCCACAATTATTATAATGTATTTATTGTTTATACGTTATTTTTATAGATACGGATATTTAAGTAAATGTAAATAATAAACAGTATTAACAACATTTACCGGCCTGAATGTTCAAAAAACTTCATAGAAAATATGTCTTTCGACAGGAATCGAATCTAATTCATACAAGGAACTGTCATATAGCCTGATGCGATATATTATTTAGGAAGCGTCTGGTTAGCAAGGTCGAATTACTGCTTTTAAACTACTAATATACCATGGTTTCTCACGAATGCTCATATCTGCTCGAAGTGTATCTTAACGTAAACAAGTGACATCATGTGCTGGCCATGGGTCAAGTGGTTGACTGCTGGAAGACGCTATGTTTGGCAATAGGACTCTGCATCATGCTGCACAAGCAGGAGACCCCAGTCAAGACTGTTAGATAATTCCTGCTAATACATTAATCCTTATATCTGGACAACTAACTCCCCAGACTGAAACTCCTTTTAATATTATGTGTGGGCCCCAGTTGAGTGGGCGACTAAAAATAAACACCTTGTAACACCAAAGATAAACTGAAGGCAAGGATTATGGCAGCATTCGTCAACTAAAACAAAGAGACCGTCCAGAAAAGATGCAGGAAATTCTAAAGTCGTCTGAAGGCCGTGATTAAAGCCAGTGGCGATTTTAGTTAATAAATTTACTCCTTAGTATTTCAAGATATTTGTGTGTAATTTTGGTAAATATTCATGAGATGTCAATATTATTTTCATTTTTGGGTAATTTTGACGACAATTTATCTATCTCATACTATATATATATATATATATATATATATATATATATATATATATATATATATATTGGGGTGATATGTATCTGATGTCATTTATTCATCTCTTTCTCTCTCTGTCTCTCTCTGTCTAACTCTCTCCCTCTCTCTCTCTCTGTTTTCTCGATTATCAGCTCAACATTTAGTACGCAAAGATTGTATGTGTATAGAAAAATATTTTTACAACAATCTCTTCTAAGTCTGGGAGAGATGTCTCCATAGAAAGCTCCCGTTAAGAAATCCTAGCTTGAAGCTGTCCTCAGACATCCACCACTGGCGCCGGTGTAGGAAACACGAAACCATTTAGGTCCGGAAATTCTCTACTCATGCTCACATAGTGCAGGAATAAGTGAAGTCACGCTCAAAAACTAACACAATTCCTCCCATTCTTGTTAGGTATAAGCCTGCTTGGTGAAAAGGATACACACACACGAGTATATATATATATATATATATATATATATATATATATGTGTGTGTGTGTGTGTGTGTGTGTGTGTGTGTGCAGTGTATGTGTTTGCGCTCCTCTAGTCCGATTCCAATGAAAGCCCTTGAAAAGTTAGGCGCAAGGAACGATTTTTCTTTGAGCTCAGTTTCAGGGTTGCCAAATATGCGAGGTTAAATATATATATTAATATATTATACTAGCCACTATCGTTGCTTTCATGGTTGAAGGGGAGTAACTCTTATTTTCCTTTTTATCCCCCAAAATTGCAGTTACCTTAAAATTTTAAGCTACCTTATAAGCCGCCATATCGGGCGGGATTTAAGCTAGCTCCTGTGGAGCACTCTTGGTTTGGCCATCATCACAATAGCTAGGAAGGAGTAGATGTGATGAATAAAATACAGAAGAACTTAAAAGTGATCGCTGCGTTCAAGTACTGAATAAATGTTGAAGCTTACCTTTTAAAAGTCCAACGATAATTCTTCTGCTGCCACTTAATTTAAAGACGATTTGATGTACGTAGATCTTTATTTTCCGTACAAACAATTATTTTTATTTCATGGCCGACAAAACAGGAGACAATTTATAAGATAAAATTTATATAGTGTAAAGATGAGAAAATAGAAATTAGAATTAGTTATACATTCAACATTTGAAAGAGTTAGAGAAACATAATAGCTAATTTAGTAACACACACAAACACACACACACACACACACACACATATATATATATATATATATATATATATATATATATATATATATATATATATATATATATATATTTGTGTATTTAGGCAACAATCCCTCTTTCATGCACATTTCACTGAAAATGACAGACAAGGTGCTTTTAGGTAGTTTTTTATACAATTTCTCATGCGATCTAATAATGTTTTTCTTTTCGAATGATAAATTATATTAAAAACTGTTCGGATATTCTTTTTATCCGAGCCCTTTCGGCTATACATCTAGCCATTTTTACGGATTATATTTTAACTTTTAAAATAAGAAATAGTTTATAGTATGTATGTTTTATAAATTTTTTTCATTTTTCAAAACACGGTCAAGATATTGTGTCCATGTTCAAAGTTAATATTATTAAGTGTTGTTTTTTGTTTTTTATTAATAAGGCTTCCAATATTTTTAGCCTTTTTTGCATGTGGATGATGCTATTATATTAGTGTTGTCAACAAGTATGTTATGAATAGTGTCCGGTAGGTCTCCATGAATATTTAAATGAGATTTAAATGAGATTTAATTGAGCTATGGTCAGAAAGGTGAAGAGTGAGTCTGCGTGACAAACATGTTGTAGTGTGGCCTATATAATTATTTACGAAGTTTGATTGATCAGGATTACAATTCTTTAATCGGCATTTAAAAATAATATATATATATATATATATATATATATATATATATATATATATATATATATATATATTATTTTAAATCTGACATTATTTGACCATTATATTTCAGCGTTGGAGTAGACTGCGTATTTTTTTTTTTTTAAAACAATGTGCATTATACCTACCTGAGCATTCGAGAGTCTTAAGAAAGGTAATGTCCCCACCGACAGGATTAGAATCTTTATCCCTCTTTATAGAGGTAAAAACTATCTGAACATGGTGGTGTAAAGTACGTTCACTTGATTAAGATTCTCGAACGCACAGGTATTAGATGCAATTAACATTGTTCATAAAGGTAAAGAGCGTTCCTCAAACGCCTGTACTCAATGTACTTTTCTTAGAACTAAGGATTAAATACTCAGTAGAAAACAATTTATAAAATAAAATTTTAAAAAATCACTGAAATCTTTTGCATGCGTCCAGTAATTAAACCCAGTCTTGTGTTTTTAGCTACTCGCCACTGGTGTCTATGATCGGTGTTCCAGACTAAAGCAAATGCCCGGATATTGACTGCTGTTCGTTAATGAACGCAGGTTTTTCTTACTTGGAAGACAGACACGAAAATTCCTCGTACACTATTTTTTTTTTCTGTTATATCTTCCATGCAAAAACAAAATTTGTTAAATATATAATACACGCTTATTTAGTCGATAGCAAAGTTGTATATCTGTATATGTCATGTACAGTCAAGCCGGCGCCGTCGTTTACAAAATTATCTCGATCTGTCCTTCGGGAAGTCAGTTTATTCAAATTCACGTATTCACATGTGTTTTTATTTTTTTTTTTTTCTTCTTCTGAATAAAAAAAAATACATTGATAGAAAAGTCTTTTTTGTTTCCTAGCAGAATAAATTCTGCAAATGTGTGAAACGTCCCGTGAGACACGGAATATACTGGTTAAGGTGATAGGTGAATATTTGAAGAGTGTGTCGTGTATATCGAAATAGATAAATGGTCGGCCTGATGGGATGTTTTCTTTTGGTGTAAAGGTAAGAATGGATCACGAAAGGAACCAGCTTAATGTGCGAGAGTTAACAAAAGACAAGCCTCGATATCAATCTCCTTCAGCAGTCTACGTGCCAGGTCCAGCAATAATCTATATAAATAAAGCGCAGTGTACGTGTGTCCGTCCGTCCGTTTTGTCGATCTCGGCGAATCATAAACAATCTGAATTAACAGATGGGATTCAAAATTAAATAAATAACTCATTTAAAGTTAAATTTAAATACAGAACAAAGTGAAAGGTTTAAAAAAAAAAAACAATTCCTTATTTAAGTTTTAACTTTAATTTCACTTTTCGTCTTAATTGCAACTGATATCGTCTCATTAAACCGTAATTAAAAATTAAACGGGGCATGGTACGTTGCTCATATGTTTTTTTTTTTCTCTAGAACACGTACATAGTTCGGGTTCGCTAATATCATTTAAGAGTAACTTTGAGAAGGGACCATAAAGAAAATTAAAACTGCGCGCAAAATAAATGTAAATAAACTACGGAGATCGGTTGCGTATACGAAGAAAGATTATACCGAACTAAAGTGCTTAATAAAGATAAAGTAATTTTTATTATTGCTAAATTCTAATAATTTTTACGTAAAAAGCCTTCCGCAGTTGCCAGCTCGAAAGGTGGCTTCTAGGCTTGTTTACAGAATATATGTTAAAGGGAAAATATCATAGAGCGTGTGTGCTTATAAATATTGCTTTGTGACTCCAATCAGAAATATAGATGATGATTTTTGCATTTTCATCTGACATTCGCATATTGTAACTGTAAAACAACAG